AATTCTCCTATCTTGCTGAGTCCCCACTACCTTGCTCTATCACCCCTACCTTGCTCAATTCCCCTGATATTGGTTAGTAACCCCTACATTGCTGAATCCCCCCTTCCTTGCTGAATCACCCCTAACTTACTTGATATCCCCTAAATTGCTTACTTCCCCATATCTTGCCGAATCCCCTCTACCTTGCTGAATTCTCCCTATCTTGCTGATTTTCCCCCTACCTTGTTTAATCACCCCTACCTTGCAGAGTACTCACTACATTGTTTAATCACCTCTACCTTGCTTAAGCACCCCTACCTTGTTGAATCACCTCTACTTTGCTGAATCACCACTGCCTTGCTTAATCACCCCTACCCTTGTTAATCACCCCTTCGTTGCCAAATCACCCCAAAATGGTTGAGTTCCCCCTATCTTGCTGAAGTCACCCTACGTTGCTGAATCGCCCCTAGCTTGCTTAATCACACCTACCTTGCTTAATCACCCTACCTTGCTGAATTCCTACTACCTTGCTGAATTCCTTTACCTTGTTTTAACACTCCTACCTTGTTTAATCACCCCTACCTTGATTTATCACCTCTAAGTTGCTTAATCATCCCTGCCTTGCTGAATTCCCCCTATCTTGCTGAATCCCCTCTACCTTGCTAAATTCTCCCAATATTGCTGAATCCCCCTACCGTGCTTAAGAACCCTGCCTTGCAAAATCCCCCCCTCCTTGCTTAATCAACCCTACCTTGCTGAATCCCCCCTTCCTTGTTGAATCAATCCTACCTTGCTGAATCCCCCCTACCTTGCTGAATCCCCCCCACCTTGATTAATCACCACTACCGTGCTGAATTCCCACCCCTTGCTGAATTCCCTCTTCCTTGCTTAATCACCCCTACCAAGATTAATCACTTGCTTAGTCACGGCTACATTGCTGAATCCCTCCTAAATTGCTCAATCCCGCCTACCTTGTTGAACCCCCCTTCCTTGCTGAATCATCCCTACCTTGCTTGATCATCCCTAAATTGCTCGATTCCCCCTATCTCGTTGAATCTCCCCTATCTTGCTGAGTTCTCTTTATCTTGCTGATCCCCTCTCCCATTCTAAATCACCCCTACCTTTTTAAGTCATCCCTGCCTTGCTGAATTCCCTCTATGCTTCTTAATCAATCCTACCTTGCTTACTCACCCTACCTTGCTTTTTTCGACTTCCTTGCTGAATTCCCCTACCTTGTTCAATCACTCCTACCTTGCCTGATGACCCCTACCTTGACTAATCATCCCTACATTGATTAATTACCTGAAAATGAGAGATTTCCCTATATCCTGCTGAATCACCCCTACCATGCTTAATCACCACTACCTTGGTCAATTCCCCCTTCCTTGCTTAATCACACGTACCTTGCACAATCACCGCTTCCCTTACATATCACCCCTTCCTCGCATAATAAACCCTACCTTTTTTAATCCCCCTTCCTTGTCGAATCAACCCAACCTTGCTGAATTCCCTCTTCCTTGCTTAATCACCCCTACCTTGATCAATCACCCCTACCTTGCTGAATCACTGATACATTGCTTGATCCCCCTACCTTGCTGAATTTCGCCTTACTTGCTGAGCCGCCCCTTCCTTGCTTAATCACCCCTACCATGCTGAATATATACTTCCTTGCTGAATTCCCCCTACCTTGTTAAAACACTCCTACCTTGTTTAATCACCCCTACCTTGCTGAGTGCTCACTACATTGTTTAATCACCTCTACCTTGCTTCAGCACCCCTACCTTCTTGAATCACCTCTATTTTGCTGAATCACCTCTGCCTTGCATAACCACCCCTACCCTTAGTAATCACCCCTTCCTTGCCTAATCACCCTTAAATTGTTGAATTCCTCCTATCTTGCTGAAGTCACCCTATGTTGCTGAATCACCCCTAGCTTGCTTAATCACACCTACCTTGCTTAATCACCCTTGCCTTGCTGAATTTCCACAACCTTGTTCGCACACTCTTACCTTGCTTAATCACCCCTACCTTGCTGAATCCCGCCTACCTTGCTGAATCCCGCTACCTTGCTGGAACCCCCCTTTCCTTGATGAATTGCCCCACCTTGCTTAATCAACCCTACCCTGCTGAATTCCTACTACCTTGCTGAATTCCACCTACCTTACCTAATCACCCCTACCTTGCTTAATCACCCCTACCTTGATGAATCCCCCCTTCCTTGTTGAATCGCCCCTACCTTGCTGAATCCCTTCTTCCTTGCTGAATTCTCCCAATCTTGCTGAATACCCACTCCCTTTCTGAGTCATCCCTATCTTTATTAATCATCCCTACCTTGCTAAATTCCCACTGATCAACCCTACCTTGCAGAATTCCCCCTTCCTTGGTTAATCACCCCTGCCTTGCTCAATCACCCCTACCTTGCTTAATCAACCCAACCTTGCTAAAGCCCCCTTCCTGGTCGAAAAGGGCACCGGTCAAAAAGGGCACCGGTCGAAAAGCGCACCGGTCGAAAAAGCGCACCTGTCGAAAAGCGCACCGGTCGAAAAGCGCACCGGTCGAAATGGGCACCGGTCGAAAAGCGCTCCGGTCGAAAAGCGCACCGGTCGAAAAGGGCACGGTCAAAAAGCGCACCGGTCGAAACGCGCACCGGTCGAAAAGCGCACCGGTCGAAAAGTGCAACGGTCGAAAAGCGCACCGGTTATGAAGCGCACTGGTCGAAAAGCGCACCGGTCGAAAAGCGCACCGGTCGAAAAAGAGCACTGGTTGGAAATTGCACTGGTCGAAAAGGGCACCGGTCGAAAAGCGCACCGGTCGAAAAGGGCACCGGTCGAAAAGGGCACCGGTCGAAAAGCGCACCGGTCGAAAAGGGCACCGGTCGAAAAGGGCACCGGTCGAAAAGCGCGCCGGTCGAAAAGCGCACCGGTCGAAAAGCGCACCGGTCGAAAGGCCACCGGTCGAAAAGTGCACCGGTCGAAATGCGCACCGATGGTGGGAGTTTAGACCGGATGGTGGTGGGAGTATAGATGGGTGGTGGTGGGAGTATAGACCGTGTGGTGGTGGGATTTTAGACCAGGTGGTGGTGGGAATTTGGCCAAGGTGTAGAAGGAGTTGAGACTGAGTCGTGCTAGGAGTTTAGACAGGGTGGTCGTGGTAGTTCTTTCCCGTTGGTTGTGGGAGTTTAGACCGGGTGTTGGTGGGAGTTTAGATTGTGTGGTGGTGGGAGTTTAAACCATGTGTTCGTGGTAGTTTAGACAGGCTGGTTGTGTGAATTTAGACTGATTGGTGGTGGGAGTTGAGACTTGGTGGTGATGGGAGTTTAGACCGGATGGTGGTGCAAGTTTAGACCGGGTGGTGGTGGGAGTTTAGACTGGATAGTGGTGGGAGTCTAGACCGGATGGTGGTGGGAGTTTAGACCGGGTGGTGGTGGGAGTTTAGACCTGTTGGTGATGAGAGTTTAGACGAATGGTGTTGGGAGTTTAGAACGATTGGTGGTGGTGGGAGTTAAGACCGGATGATGGTGGGTTTTTTGATTGGGTGCTGGTGGGAGTTTAGACCGGGTGGTGGTGGTAGTTTAGACTGGGTGGTGGTGGGAGTTTAGACCAATTGGTGGAGGGAGTTTAGACCGGGTGGTGGTTGGAGTTTAGACCGGGTGGTGAGGGAGTTTAGACCGGGTGGTGGTGGGAGTTTAGACCGAATGGTGGTGGGAGTTTATACCGGTTGGTGGTGGGAGTTTAGACCGGATGATGGTGGGAGTTTGGATCGGGTGCTGGTGGGAGTTTAGACCGGGTGGTGGTGGGAGTTTAGACCAGTTGGTGGAGGGAGTTTAGACCGGGTGGTGGTTGGATTTTAGATTGGGTGGTGAGGGAGTTTAGACCGGGTGGTGGTGGGAGCTTAGACCGGGTGGTGGAGGGAGCTTAGACCGGGTGGTGCTGGGAGCTTAGACGGGATGATGGTGGGAGCTGGGATCGGTGCTGGTGGGAGTTTGGACGGGGTGGTGGTGGGAGTTTAGACCGCGTGGTGGTGGTCATTTAGACTGGTTGGTGGTGGGGGTTTAGAGCGGGTGGTGGTGGAAGTTTAGAGCGGTTGGTGGTGGGAGTTTAGACCGGGTGGTGGTGGGAGTTTAGACCGGTTGGTGGTGGGAGTTTAGACCGGGTGGTGGTGGGAGTTTAGACCTTTTGGTGGTTGGAACTCAGACCGGGTTGTGGTGGGAGTTTAGACCGGTTGGTGGTGGGAGTTTAGACCGGTTGGTTGTGGGAGTTTAGACCGGATGATGGTGGGAGTTTGGATCGGGTGCTGGTGGGAGTTTAGACCGGGTGGTGGTGGGATTTTAGACCAGTTGGTGGAGGGAGTTTAGACTGGGTGGTGGTTGGATTTTAGATTGGGTGGTGAGGGAGTTTAGACCGGGTGGTGGTGGGAGCTTAGACCGGGTGGTGGAGGGAGCTTAGACCGGGTGGTGCTGGGAGCTTAGACCGGATGATGGTGGGAGCTTGGATCGGTTGCTGGTGGGAGTTTGGACCGGGTGGTGGTGGGAGTTTAGACCGCGTGGTGGTGGTCATTTAGACTGGTTGGTGGTGGGGGTTTAGACCGGGTGGTGGTGGAAGTTTAGACCGGTTGGTGGTGGGAGTTTAGACCGGGTGGTGGTGGGAGTTTAGACCTTTTGGTGGTGGGAACTCAGACCGGGTGGTGGTGCGAGTTTAGACTGGGTGGTAGTGGGAGTTTTTGACCGGTTGGTGGAGGGAGTTTAGACCGAGTGGTTGATGGAGCTTAGACCTGGTTGTGGGGGAGTTTAGACGAGGGGGTGGTGGGAGTTTAGACCTGGTGGTTGTGGGAGATAAGACCGGGTTGGTGGTGGGTGTTGAGACCGGGATGATGTTGGGAATTTGGATCGGGTGCTGGTGAGCGTTTAGACTGGGTGGTGGTGGGAGTTTAGACCGGGTGGTGGTGGGAGTTTAGACCGGGTGCTGGTGGGAGTTTAGGCCGGGTGGTGGTGGGAGTTCAAACCGGGTGGTGGTGGGATTTTAGACCAGGTGGTGGTGGGAATTTAGGCCGGGTGGTTGTAGTAGATGAGACCGAGTCGTGCTGGGAGTTTAGACTGGATGTTGGTGGCAGTTTAGACCAGTTTTTGGAGGGAGTTTAGACCAGGTTGTGAGGGAGTTTAGACCGGGTGGTGGTGGGAGTTTAGACCGGGTGGTGGAGTGACTTTAGACCAGGTGGTAGTGGGAATTTAGACCGTGTCGTGGTGGGTGTTTAGACCGGTTGGTGGTGGGAATTTAGTCTGGGTGGTGGTAGAAGTTTAGACCGGGTGGTGGTAGTAGATAAGAGCGGATGGTGGTGGGAGTATAGACCAGGTGGTGGTGGGAGTTTAGACCCGATGGTGGTGGGAGTGTAGACTGGGTGGTGGTGGGAGTATAGACAAGAGGTGGTCAGATTCAAGACCGAGTGGTGGTGGGATTTTAGACCCGGTGGTGGTGGGTTTTTTTATTGGGTGGTGTTGGGAGTTTAGACTGGGTGGTGGTGGGAGTTTAGACTGGATGGTGGTGGGAGTTCATACCGTGTGGTCGTGGGTGTTTAGACGGGCTGGTTGTGGGAGTTTAGACTATGTGGTGGTGGGAGTTTAGACGTGGTGGTGGTGGGAGTTTTGACCTGGTATTGGTGGGAGTTTTTTTTTGGATGGTGAAAGGAGCTAAGATTGGGTGGCTGCTATACCTCCTGCCAGTCAAACCACCATAGCGTCGTCAAATCTTCATGGAAGTTCATGATTAACCTTGCTGCAGACAAACGACAGCAACGCACCCGAGATCACCGTTTCAGCTAGCGAGCAGATCGTTATCAATATTTGAAGCCGTCTGACGGAAATCCGACTGTGCTCTCAATCTCATTTTAGGCACATTTGAGCCTATTGTGATTATAACAAGTGGTATCAGAGCCCCTTGGAGCCGTCTCGACCATGCCTAGACCTGAGGAAGGGGGTGGCAGAGGTGCTGGAGGCAGAGAAGACGCCCAAGCACAAGGTCAACACCAAGATCCACCCGTTGCTCCGGTGCAACCTAGCCTTGGACCCTCTAGGGATGAGCCTAGAGTGTTTGGCCTTGACAAGTTCAACGGTGACAACTATGCTGTGTGGTCCTTCAAGATGGAGAACATCTTTGACCACTATGATCTGCTGGAGGTGATGGAAGGAACGGAGAACCGCCCCGAGAACGACCCGGAGAAGAGCCCGTGGGTGCGGAAGTGCGCACAAGGCTACCTTCTACTTGGGCAAGCGTTGGGGAGCAGCCAAATCCATCACATCAGTCATTTTCAGCGTGAACCAGCAAAGGGACCAAAGGCATGGGCTGCTCTCAAGGGTGTACACGCTCCTGCAACAGCGGCGGTGGCTGTGGTTTTGGAGCGGCAAATGGCGGCACTTCGAATTGACGAAGGCGAACCGGTGGAGGAAGGAGTGTAGAAATTCCTAATTTTTTCATGCGTGGTTAGTGTATGGGCTCAAGAGCATGCTGGCCTGTGCTCGGATGCAAAACCCAGGTGTGTGGGAAGTTATGGTATCTCAAGCGTTTTCGCATGTCCAAGTTCTTGAGTGGTACCCCACGAAACAACAACCTGTTTTTTCATTTAGGATCTTGTTCACTAAAACTCTTTCCATTTGCATACATAGCTAGTGTATGGCCTCAAGAGCATCATGGCTTGTGCTAAGATCCAAAATCCAAGTGGTTGGGAAGTTATAGTATGTCAACTATTGTCCCATGACTAAACACTTGAGCACTGCCCAACAAAACCTCAACTTTCATTTTGTTTTCAGATACAAAGCAATTTCTAAGCCCTTGGTTTGCAGGAACAGTTAGTGCATGGGCTCAAGATTATCGTGGCTTGTGCTCAGATCCAAAACCTAAGTGTGCAAAAAGTTATGGTATTATATGTGTTCCTTTTTCCAGTAATTGAGCATTTCCCTACAAGAACTCAACTTGGTTATCTTGCTATTGAGAGTGCTCAAACATCTTGCTTTTTCCATGCATGGTTAGTGTATGGGCTCAAGAGCATGCTGGCCTGTGCTGGGATGCAAAACCCACGTGTGTGGGAAGTTATGGAATCTCAGGCATTTTTGCATGTCCAAGTTCTTGAGTGGTACCCCACCAAACAACAACCTGTTTTTTCATTTAGGATCTTGTTCACTAAAACTCTTTCCCTTTGCATACATAGCTAGTGTATGGCCTCAAGAGCATCATGGCTTGTGCTCAGATCCAAAATCCAAGTGGTTGGGAAGTTATACTATGTCAACTATTGTCCCATCACACAACACTTGAGCATTGCCCAACAAAACCTTAACTTCTCATTTTGTATTTCAGAGACAAAGCAATTTCTAAATCCTCGTTTTGCATGAACAGTTAGTGCATTAGCTCAAGACAATTGTGGCTTGTGCTCAGATCCAAAACCTAAGTGTGCAAAAAGTAATGGTATTGTATGTGTTCCTTTTTCCAGTACTTGAGCATTTTCCTACGAGACCTCAACTTGGTTATCTTGCTATTGAGCGTGCTCAAACATCCTAATTTTTGCATGCGTGGTTAGTGTATGGGCTCAAGAGCATGCTGGCCTGTGCTCGGATGCAAAACCCAGGTGTGTGGGAAGTTATGGTATTCCAAGCGTTTTCGCATGTCCGAGTTCTTGAGTGATACCCCACCAAACAACAACCTGTATTTCATTTAGGATCTTGTTCACTAAAACTCTTTCCCTTTGCATACATAGCTAGTGTATGGCCTCAAGAGCATCATGGCTTGTGCTCACATCCAAAATCCAAGTGGTTGGGAAGATATAGTAGGTCAACTATTGTCCCATCACCAAACACTTGAGCATTACCCAACAAAACCTTAACTTTTCATTTTGTTTTTCAGAGACAAAGCAATTTCTAAACCCTTGGTTTGCATGAACAGTTAGTGCATTAGCTCAAGATAATTGTGGCTTGTGCTCAGATCCAAAACCTAAGTGTGCAAAAAGTTATGGTATTGTATGTGTTCCTTTTTCCAGTACTTGAGCATCTTCCTATGAGACCTCAACTTGGTTATCTTGCTATTGAGCATGCTCAAACATCTTGCTTTTTGCATGCGAGGTTAGTGTATGGGCTCAAGAGCATACTGGCCTGTGCTCGGATGCAAAACCCAGGATTGTGGGAAGTTATGGTACTGTATCTCAAGTGTTTTCGCATGTCCTTGTTCTTGAGTGGTACCCCACCAAACAACAACCTGTTTTTTCATTTAGGATCTTGTTCACTAAAACTCTTAAGCATTGCCCAACAAAACCTCAACCTTTCATTTTGTTTTTTCAGAGAAAAAGCAATTTCTAAGCCCTTGTTTTGCATGAACAGTTAGTGCATGGGCTCAAGATAATCGTGGCTTGTGCTCAGATCCAAAACCTAAGTGTGCAAAAAGTTATGGTATTAAACGTGTTCCTTTTTCCAGCACTTGAGCATCTTCCTACGAGACCTCAACTTGGTTATCTTGCTATTGAGTGTGCTCAAACATCCTAATTTTTGCATGCGTGGTTAGTGTATGGGCTCAAGAGCATGCTGGCCTGTGCTCGGATGCAAAACCCAGTTGTGTGGGAAGTTATGGTATCTCAAGCGTTTTCGCATGTCCAAGTTCTTGAGTGGTACCCCACCAAACAACAACCTGTTTTTCATTTAGGATCTTGTTCACTAAAACTCTTAAGCATTGCCCAACAAAACCTCAACCTTTCATTTTGTTTTTTCAGAGAAAAAGCAATTTCTAAGCCCTTGTTTTGCATGAACAGTTAGTGCATGGGCTCAAGATAATCGTGGCTTGTGCTCAGATCCAAAACCTAAGTGTGCAAAAAGTTATGGTATTGTATGTGTTCCTTTTTCCAGCACTTGAGCATCTTCCTACGAGACCTCAACTTGGTTATCTTGCTATTGAGTGTGCTCAAACATCCTAATTTTTGCATGCGTGGTTAGTGTATGGGCTCAAGAGCATGCTGGCCTGTGCTCGGATGCAAAACCCAGTTGTGTGGGAAGTTATGGTATCTCAAGCGTTTTCGCATGTCCAAGTTCTTGAGTGGTACCCCACCAAACAACAACCTGTTTTTCATTTAGGATCTTGTTCACTAAAACTCTTTCCCTTTGCATACATAGCTAGTGTATGGCCTCAACAGCATCATGGCTTGTGCTCAGATCCAAAATCCAAGTGGTTGGGAAGTTATAGTATGTCAACTATTGTCCCATGACTAAACACTTGAGCATTGCCCAACAAAAGCCTCAACTTTTCATTTTGTTTTTCAGATACAAAGCAATTTCTAAGCCCTTTTTTGCATGAACAGTTAGTGCATGGGCTCAACATAATCATAGCTTGTGCTGAGATCCAAAACCTAAGTGTGCAAAAAGTAATGGTATTGTATGTGTTCCATTTTCCAGAACTTGAGCATTTTCCTACGAGACCTCAACTTGGTTATCTTGCTATTGAGAGTGCTCAAACATCTTGCTTTTTGCATGCATGGTTAGTGTATGGGCTCAAGAGCATGCTGGCCTGTGCTCGGATGCAAAACCCAGGAGTGTGGGAAGTTATGGTACTGTATCTCAAGCGTTTTCGCATGTCCAAGTTCTTGAGTGGTACCCCACCAAACAACAACCTGTTTTTTCATTTAGGATCTTGTTCACTAAAACTCTTTCCCTTTGCATACATAGCCAGTATATGGCCTCAAGAGCATCATGGCTTGTGCTCAGATCCAAAATCCAAGTGGTTGGGAAGTTATAGTATGTCAACTATTGTCCCATGACAAAACACTTGAGCATTGCCCAACAACACCTCAATTTTTCATTTTGTTTTTCAGATACAAAGAACTTTCTCAGCCCTTGTTTTGCATGAACAGTAAGTGCATGGGCTCAAGATAATCGTGGCTTGTGCTCAGATCCAAAACCTATGTGTGCAAAAGTAATGGTATTGTATGTGTACCTTTTTCCAGTACTTGAGCATTTTCCTACGAGACCTCAACTTGGTTATCTTGCTACTGAGCAACCTCCAAGATCTCTCTATTTTCATACATGGTTAGTGCATGGGCTCAAGAGCATGCTGGCTTGTGCTCAGATGCAAAACCCAGGTGTGTGGGAAGTTATGGTATCTCAAGCGTTGTCGCATTTCCAAGTTCTTGAGTGGTACCCCACCAAACAACAACCTGTTTTTTCATTTTGGTGCTTTGTTTACCAAAACTCTTTCCTTTTGCATACATAGCTAGTGTATGGCCCCAAGAGCATCATGGCTTGTGCTTAGATCTAAAATCCAAGTGGTTGGGAAGTTAGAGTATGTCAAGTATTGTCCCTTGTCTAAACACTTGAGCATTGCCCAACAAAACCTCAACTGTTCTTTTATTTTTCAGACACTGAGCAATTTCTAAGCCCTTGTTTTGCATGAAATTTAGTGCATGGGCTCAAGATAGTCGTGGCTTGTGCTCGATAAAAAACCTAAGTGTGCAAAAAGTTATGGCATCGTATGTGTTTCTTTTTCCAGTACTTGAGCATTTTCCTTTGAGACCTCAACTTGGTTATCTTGCTATTGAGCATGCTCAAACATCTTTCTATTTTCATGCATGGTTAGTGCATGGGCTCAAGAGCATGCTGGCTTGTGCTCAGATGCAAAACCCAGGTGTGTGGGAAGTTATGGTATCTCAAGCGTTGTCGCATGTCCAAGTTCTTGAGTGGTACCCCACTAAACAACAACCTGTTTTTTCATTAAGGTGCTTTGTTTACCAAAACTCTTTCCTTTTGCATACATAGCTAGTGTATGGCCCCAAGAGCATCATGGCTTGTGCTTAGATCTAAAATCCAAGTGGTTGGGAAGTTAGAGTATGTCAAGTATTGACCCATGTCTAAACACTTGAGCATTGCCCAACAAAACCTCAACTCTTCATTTTTTTTTTCAGACACTGAGCAATTTCTAAGCCCTTGTTTTGCATGAAAATTTAGTGCATGGGCTCAAGATAGTCGTGGCTTGTGCTCGGATAAAAAAACTAAGTGTGCAAAAAGTTATGGCATCGTATGTGTTTCCTTTTCCAGTACTTGAGCATTTTCCTTCGAGACCTCAACTTGGTTATCTTGCTATTGAGCATGCTCAAACATCTTTCTATTTTCATGCATGGTTAGTGTATGGGCTCAAGAGCATGCTGGCTTGTGCTCAGATGCAAAACCCAGGTGTGTGGGAAGTTATGGTATCTCAAGCGTTGTCGCATGTCCAAGTTCTTGAGTGGTACCCCACTAAACAACAACCTGTTTTTTCATTTAGGTGCTTTGTTTACCAAAACTCTTTCCTTTTGCATACATAGCTAGTGTATGGCCCCAAGAGCATCATGGCTTGTGCTTAGATCTAAAATCCAAGTGGTTGGGAAGTTAGAGTATGTCAAGTATTGTCCCATGTCTAAACACTTGAGCATTGCCCAACAAAACCTCAACTCTTCATTTTTTTTTTCAGACACTGAGCAATTTCTAAGCCCTTGTTTTGCATGAAAATTAGTGCATGGGCTCAAGATAGTCGTGGCTTGTGCTCGGATAAAAAACTAAGTGTGCAAAAAGTTATGGCATCGTATGTGTTCCTTTTTCCAGTACTTGAGCATTTTCCTTCGAGAC